TGTTTGTTTGTTTGTTTTACTGGTGGTTGTCAGCTTCAGTTTTCATAGAAATTCCTTTAAGGATAAACTCCCCAAACCACTGCAGTGATACCATCAACAATTAAGAAAGTTTATCAGAGATTTTTGTTATCCTTACAGAGGATATTGGGCTATCACAGATGTATAGTGCATTGGGAGGTATCTTCAGTTAGTTTGCTGATTCACTATTAGTCAGGTCACATATAGAGTAACCCTCCTAACTAGTTGGCATTTGTCAATAGCTCTTATTACATCATCTCAAAAAGCCAATAAGAACCAAATTCAGTCCTTTGATTTCCTTCTAATGAATCATTCATGAAAAAGTAAATTTAATGTTTATTCCACATCTCCAAATAAGTGTTTCTCAACTTTTTGTTTCAACCTGTTCCTTCTAACTGATAAACATGAAAGTCTTGTGACTATTCCCTAAAACTTCTAACATAAACTTCTGGAAGGAAGCTGACCCGTCTGAATACCCTCATGAACCAAGAGGATTACGATCAAATTGTGCTTGGGTCATAGTTAAAAAATTTGAAAAACATACCACTAAAGGTCTCTAAGGAAAACCTAGTGATTCTGGAAAATATAATTGCTCATAATAAAAATACGCAGAGAAGGTTTGTGTGTCAGTTTTGCATTTTCCCTATTAATATACCTCTCACTGTACGTTGGGGACTTGCCTTCCCACCTAACAATAGAGCACAGCTCTTGCCCATGAGGCATGTGGCAGTATCTGGGGACTACAAGCCCAGCCTCTTCAAGAATCCCTTCAGCCCAAAGCCTCAGCAAAAACTTTAATGTATACACACTCTCTTCTCCAGCCTCACTCTCACCGTGGCTATATACCCTCATTAAGTCACATGGACTTTTAAAAGAATATGAAAAAGAATATGAGTGTCCTCAGTGCTTAAGACTGTATGCTTCAAACACATTCATTAACAGAGAGAGAACTGAAGCTTCAATCAGTGCACAGCATTTTCTGGATCACAGCAAATCTAAAACTAAAACAAGTCACCTGGTTGCTAGCCTTAAGATTTCTTTTATTGGGTGGCTCCTGTGGCTCAGTATATGGGGCTGGGCTCCTGTAGTCCCAGCTACTGGGGAGGCTGAGGCAAGAGAATCGCTTAAGCCCAAAAGAGTTGTGAGCTGTGATGCCACAGCACTCTACTGAGGGCGACAGAATGAGACTCTGTCTCAAAAAATAATAATAAAATAAAAAATAAAGTAAATGACCCTTAGTCATATACTTCAGTTTTATAAACACATTTATAAATAGGGGTTGGGGGAAGGCGGTTCTTTCTTATCAGTCAATTTATAAATTCTGGAATATGGGTTTCCTTGGTAACAAGATGGCAGGCCAAGCACTCGGGCAAGGTAGGAATTTGCATCATTGTGGTATATACAAGCAGTGTTTCTGAAAAGAAGATATAGCTATTGTCAGATACTATGTGTACTAAGGTTTTATTTTAAAAAGCAAAAAGAATCCTCCACGATTAATTAAGAAAATGTTTATTAAGCATCTGTTATGTTCTAGACACATTGCTAGGCAGTAGAGATAGGGACTGAGATAAAACAGTCTAATAGAAGAAACTGATATTGATCAGATAATCATCCTGTTGAATATATAATGATGAAGATAAGTGAACACCCAGACCTGACTGGAGCCAGCAGTAACTGCCCTGAGAAAGGGATACTTGAGCTGAGCTTCCAATAGGCACTAATCAAGTGAGGAGGAATGTTCAAAGTTCCCCAAAATAGAGAAAGCATGGCAAATAAGGAAGGAAGGCCAAGGTAGTTGGAACACAGGATAAAGAAGGGAGGCCAGTCCTTGCTGGGCCTCTTAGGCCACAGTAAAGAGACTGATTTGGGCAGCTTTATCCTGAAAGCTAGAGGGAGCCACTGAAAAGTTTTAAGAACCCCATAATATTCTGAAATAAAAATAAAATGTAATTTAAGTTTTAAGCAGAGGATAACATGACATTTGAATGTCTCAGAGACATTTTTAATTCAAAATGTGTATTATATACATTGTATAAATTGTGTAAAATCCAATTTAATTGTTCCTCTTTTCTTATTTCCCAATTTCTGTAAATGGCACTACCATTCTTCAGATTAGTTAATTTAAAACTTCCCTCTCAGCTCGGCGCCTGTGGCTCAAGTGGCTAAAGCACCAGCCACATACACCTGAGGTGGCGGGTTCAAATCCAGCCCGGGCCAGCCAAAAACAACAATGACGGCTGCAACCAAAAAATAGCCGGGCATTGTGGCAGGTGCCTATGGTCCCAGCTACTTGGGAGGCTGAGGCAGGAGACTCGCT